AACCCATAATGTAGGGGCCTAAATAATTACCCATACTATTTTGGGGGCTCCTTATTACAATTATAGTCCTAAAACCCTATTCTAATTATTAAGGCCCCTATATTAAACCTTGAACCTTGATGCCAAGACCCAACCCACAAAAGTCGAGAGCAAACACGGGATCACTGCCGCCTCAGTGTGCGCACCGCCACCACCATCCGCGAGTTCTTTCGCGAGGCAGCGGCCGGGGTTTTTAAGGCGCTAGTGTTTCAGTATGGTACCGGATGAGGGTTTAGGGCTTACGGTCCAGGAGTTTGGGGTTGTAGGGTTTAGGGTTTGGGGGTTTGGCATTTAGTGGTTTCGATGTCATTGCCTACTAGTACGTCTTTGTCATGTATAATTCCATATTTCTGTACACGAGCACATGCCGGTTTCCGCGTGTCTTGCAGAATGGAATTGGGTCTCACTTCGATTTGTTCTTGAGGCTCCGTGTGGTGGGTCTTGTCGTCGCGTCTCGTTGAGATTGCCCAGTTCGCCGTCGAAAGCAGAGGCCAAAACCACCCACGAAAACCTTGAACCACCACCAGCTCGGGTACTCCTGCCCTTATGCCCTACCTGGACCCCCAAAGGATGTCAAGTAATAGCGGTTGATGGGTCTTGCGCCATTATTTTACCTACTTTTGGGGGGTTTAGGGTAAGCCCGAAACCCTACAGCCTAAACCGTAGCCTTAGGCCTAAGCCCGAAACCCTAAACCCCAAAAAAACAGTTACACACACCGAGGCTCAAATTCTCCAAGACTCGAAAGCTCAACAGGAGCGGCGATGGGTAGCCGGCAGCGAGAGGCAGTTGGGGGCTTCTACCTTCAAACATTAGCCTGTTATGGGTCTTGGGTTTAGGGTTTAGGGCTGCCTGGACCCCCAAAAGTATGTCAAATCTTAGTCTCTTATGGGTTTTGGGCCATGTTGTTACCTACTTTTGGGGTTTAGGCAAGCTTAGGGCTTTAGGGCTTCAGGGTTTTTAGGGCGCAGGGTTGTTAGGGTTCAGTTCAGGGGTTTAGGGATTAGAGGATGAGGGCAATGATATTGGCTGAATCGCCAGGGCTGAATATATAGATCTGAAGAGTAAGAGTAGCACTAGTAATTGCCATTGTCATAGTTTCATAAGGGCATTAAGAAGGAAACTAACAGTTATTAGAATCGTATTCGTAGCCCATAGGCCCTAAAGTAGTTCCTGTTTGGGGTTCATATATAGAATCCTATAAGGTAAGCCCGAAAAGGAACTACTATGGGGCCTATGGGAACTGCAACCGTAGCAAGCCTCAAGGTTTAAGAAGGTCTGGATCCGGATTCGGAGGAGTGGTCAAGTCTCGTGGCTTCGTCAGGAATTTACGAAGACGGTTGGGAGGGTTTCGGGTTTGTGGTTCAGGATTCAGGATTTCGGATGATGAATTAGTCCCTAAACCCCCCCAAGTAGACGAAAATAATGGCCCAAGACCCAGAAAAAAGGCTATTATTTGATTTACTTTTGGGGTCCAGGTAGGGTTTAGGATTCAGGGCTGCGGCTTTGGGGGGGCTTCTCATCAACCTGAACCTCGGATGTTAGGTCCTCGGAGGTTATTGGTTCGAACAGTTTAGGGTTTAGGGTTTAGGGTTTAGGGTTTAGGGTTTAGGGGTCATTTTAGGTTTGTAGGTTGCTGTTTGGTTCAATATTCAATAATGGCAATGGTGATTTTAGGGCTTTGAGGGTTCGGATTTTCGGGTGCAGGATGTCAGGAATGGGTTGTGGTTTAGGGTTTAGGGTTTAGGGTTTAGGGTTTAAGGTTTAGGGTTTAGGGTTTAGGGTTTATGAAGCAGACGCCCGAGTTCAGCCTGGGGCCCAAACCTTGACACATCTCCAGCTAGAACACGAGGCTCGCGAAGTCAATGCAGAAGCCTGATAACTCAATGCTACTGTTCCGTGTAGGCTTCCTTGTAGACTATGGTTATAGTATACTCTTTGCCCCAGACCTTATTCTAAGTCTGAATTACGAGGTCCGTCATGCTGAGTTCAGGACTTAGGATGATTCAGGGTTCAGAAAACTTGTCTCGAGACTGACACAGAACTTCCGTGAGGAAATATTACAAGTTCAGCAGGCTGCCAGCTTGTTTCTCCAAAGCTCATCGATTTCTGATTGACGATGTTGAACCCTTCAGCCGATTCATGGAAATCCAGCTCCGTTTTGTGTCAGGTCAGCTGGAGGGTACTCTGAAGGAGTGCCGGTTTGGGGTTGTGTTTTACCTGCCCTTTGGTTTTCTGAGCTCGTGCTGGGTTTGGGCTTCCGATTTCAATCTAAGCTTTGCGACCCAGTTGCTGCTTCGATGCGCGAGCCCAGCAAGAAGCAACCCAAATCCGAGAGCCGAAGCGTACCGGTAGGTGTAGGCAAACCTCAAGCCCCATTCCCAAACCCTTGACGCCAAGCACACCGACATAGTACATATGTATATATACACATACACCTATATACACTCTATCTGTCTATCTATCAATCTATCTATCCATCTATCCATCTATCTATCTATCTATCTATCTATCTATCTATTTATCTATCTATCTATCTATCTATCTATCTATCTATCTATCTATCGTTCTAACCAGCTATCTGTGCGTGAATATATGTATGTATGTATATATATATATATATATACGTATGTCAGCACATTGTCACATACATGTGTGCATGTAGGTCCTGCCATATCTGATTGCAAGCCCTAACTGAAACCCTAAACCCTAAACCCTAAACCTTAAGCCCTAAGCCCTAAACCCTAAACGCTAAACCTTAAGCCCTAAACCCTAAACGCTAACTACCCCCGAGCAACATCACCAGGACGTCCTCCGCGACTTCCGCTCCGAGGAGGCTTTAGCTGCTTCGCTGAGGGGTTCTGTTCTGCCAGGGTTCCTTCGGGTTTAGGTTCAGGGTTTAGGGTCTAGGGTTTAGGGTTTAGGGTCTAGGGTTTAGGGTTTAGGGTTCAGGGTTTAGGGTTTAGGGTCTAGGGTTTAGGGTTTAGGCTGGGTCTAGGGTTTAGGGTTTAAGGTTCAGGGTTTAGGGTTTAGGGTCTAGGGTTTAGGGTTTAGGGTTTAGGGTTCGATTCCTTCAAGCTCCTAGGTAGCATTAGGGAGACCCCTTAAACAGAACCCTTCTTAACCGCACCTATATAGCTCTCTTACAAAGGGACCTTATTGAGAGGGTCTAGATCCTGAAGGGTCCCCCTTTTTACGAACTCCCACAAGCTTTCCTTTCAGAAATCCTTTTAAAGGCTCCTGTCAGCGTCAGGGTTCTGGGACATCGTCCCTCCGCTCACTCCTCACCTCCGACCGAGACCCTGCCCTCAAGCATGCCTCGTTGTGACCGCGTGACATTGAGATGATAAGGTTTAAGTTAGGGTCATCGAAATCGGAGGTCGAAGCCAGAGAGCATCTTCGACCTTCTTTCCCGGCCTCTTTCCCCCCCTCCCCCGCTCCAAAAATTCCGAACCTCGGAACCTCCGAACCTCGGAACCTTTCCCCCCTCCCCCCCTGAAAAAAACGAATGCTGGAACCTCCGAACTTCGGAACCCGGCCCGGAGTGGTTCGGGTTCGGGCGTGCTCGATCAGCTCGGCCCAAGCTTTCGAGTGCAGAGGCTAGCTGACGATGAGGAAGATGTGACCACGGTTTAGGGTTTAGGGTTTATAGGGTTTAGGGTTTATGGTTAAGGGTTTATAGGGTTTAGGGTCTATAGGGTTTAGGGTTTAGGGTTGATGACACCTGCTTGGCTCAAAGAGCTCTGTAAGAGTCGGCTGCTCCAGTCGGAATGCCCGGGGTTTGCGTGTAGTGTTGATGGACAGAATTCTGCATGACCCAAATATAGTATAGTACCATAAATCCCATAGTTTAGGTATGTAAGGTCATGCAGGATTCTGCCCATCAGCCGTAGTGTATGCTTGGAAGGCTCTTCTTCCGAGACGGCTCTCCAAACAGCAGTAACGGCAACAGCAACAACAACAACGACAACCGAAACATGCTCCTGATAGTATGAAGAGTAATCTTTCGTAATGGTGCTTGTGTGGGTCATGATTCAAAAGTTAATTTCACCCAGCATCCAAACTGAGAGAATTTGCTGTTGGGCGATGTACAATGCAAACTCAGTGCCGCCACAGTCACAACGAATGCGTGAACGTCGTGACCAAAGCCATTCGCGGACCAAGCAGCGATACCGAGCAACACTCAGCACCCAAACCCGAAAACCCTAATCCGGTCCTAACCAGAACTGGCCAGCCGACTCCAGGTGTGGACACTTCTGCACCTGTGTCGGGACCTTATACTGCCTCTGTGTCTCTGCCGGACGTCATGCTTCCTTCCTTGAGTTTCTATAGCTGCCTGAATAATTAGCTATACTATCTATCCCTAAGGATTCTTGGATATGGTCACACAAACCCTGTTCAATCTGTTTATGCCACTATATGACCCATGTGTAACGATGGCTGGATTAGTGGGCATGCGCATGTTTGGAGATCCAAGGGTCCAGAAACCTTACACTCGAGAAAGATTCCGGAGTTCTCGTGCGAAGAACTACCGGAATTCTGGTTGTTGCGCAACCCTAAACCCTAAACCCCCTAAACCCCCTAAACCCCCTAAACCCCCTAAACCCTAAACACTCTAAACCGCCTCCAAAGCCCTGAAGCCCTACATAATCCCCACAGCCCCAGAGCTGGCTCTCAGGTGTGTGCTGCCATGTGTGCCTCCCGGGAAAGTGCCGGGCGGCAGGCGGGCAGAGAATGCCACAGATTCAAAGCAGGGTTTAGGGTTCCCTTTAAATTTCAGGGTTCAGGGTTTAGGGTTCCCTTCAGGCATCTTTACTGGTTCCATGTAGGGTTACTTTCCGGGTTGCTCTGAAGGTTTAAGGGTTCAGGGCTTTGCGTTTTAGGGTTTAGGGTTTAGGGTTTAGGGTATAGGTCCCGAGCTTTCTATCACTAGACTGACCTAAGTGCATCCTTGTAGTCTCTGGTCCTAGTCCCCATATAAGTGCAGTGTCACGTGTAAAGAGCATGAGCTACGCCCATACCCTGTTCCTTCAGGTTTCCATTCTGCCCTACGGTTGATGATATAAATCCTGCAGTACCCATAATCGGGAATGTACCATAATTCCCATAGTTTAGGGTCCTTAACGTAACGCAGGATTTATATCATCAACAGTAAGGGGCCTTTCGCTTTAGCACCCCGCAACCCCCAAAAGCTCAAACCCCAAGCGAAGCCGGCCCCCGAAGGCCTCAAGAGCTACATCCCCGTGATACCCTGAGCCAAAAGCCCCCCAAAAATCGAGGAGGGTTTACCCAGAGGCCCTAAAGTAGTTCCTTTTTTGGGGTTCAGAAATAGAATCCTATAAGGTAACCCCAAAAAGGAGCTACTTTGGGGCCTATGGGTAGGGTTTAGGATCCCCAAATCCGGATAGAACCCTGCAAGTGACACGTGAATTGAAGTATCCTGAAGCCTAGGGTTTAGGGTTTAGGTTTTAGGGTTTAGGGTCCGCAAAATCCTTTTCAGCACCTCACCTGCAGGCCTGTTCGTGAGGGCCCCTCCAAGGCGGACATCATGTACGCGCCCGGTACCTCAGGGTGTAGGGGAGTGTTCTGTGGGCTCTGCGATGTTTTGAGAGATGAATCCCTGAGCTTGAAGCTTGTGGCTTGGGGTGTAGGGTGTAATTCGGCGTGCCAAACCCCAAACCTCAACCAACTTGCGACCCTAAACCCTATACCCTAAACCCCTAAACCCTAAACCCTAAACCCTAAACCCTGTGATTCTGACGCGGCCTTGGCACAGTGCCCGAGGCCGCGCCCGACATCGATGCCCTCCATGACGAGCGCAGCCAGACGCTGACCATGCATGAAAAAACCTTTCGGCAGGGCCTACAGGGTTTGGGGTTTAGGGTTAGGGGGAAAACCCCTCAACCCTAAACCTCTTAACCCCTGGACCCTAGAGGGCCTACAGGGGTTTCATTTTGCTAGCCTTCGCCAGACATGCAGGGTTTCAGCTTGGGAACTGGGCAGATTTTATGCTAAACCGATCCATAGCTGCACATGCAACAGCACGTGCCAGCAGGCCTGCTTGTCGAAGCCTTTGTCAAGGCACCGCAAGCCTTGAGAACAGCATTCGTTAATCTCGCTGCAATATGTTCAAGAAAGTTTTCGGGTAAAGGGTGCAATTTGATGTCTTGCTGTTCTGACGGCGCAAACCAGTCACTCACAGAATGTGCAAATTCGCAATGCTGTTTTCGGTGCTCCATGATCCAGTCCAGCGCCTCTTTTGTCTAAATGCTTGGAACGTATTTCATGTCGTGAATCGGCGAACGTGTGATCTCCGCAGCAAGTGTTCAAACTTGCAGCTTGTCTAGCAAATCGGGCCATCCGGGGATGGTTTCCTTCCTCGCCGTGGCCTCAGTCTGCACTGCAGTGGTGGCGAGAAGACTATGTTACAATGCCAATGAGAGCAATCGCACTAACATAGAAGCCCTGATCATGAGGATTACTATTCCCTGGCGGCTGCTTGTTTCAAACACATTTAAATAATATACCCCCCAGCCCTATTCTAGCTATAGAAGGCCTCTACATTAGTGCCTCAGGTTCCACTCACAACCCTGCTCTTTGCCTTGGAGGCCGGGCACCAAGAGTGGAGCTTTGCAGGTTGCTGATACTATGGGGGCCTTAATAATTACCTCTACTATTACGGGGGTTCCTTAATATAAGTATGGTATACTGGGCCCCAAAACCTTGTTCGAGCTATCAAGGCCCCTATATCAGTCGCTGCGAGACATCGACGGGTTTAGGGTTTAGTTGAGGGTTTTGAGTCTGGAGCGTCCCAGAACAAAAGTGTTGGTGACTATCTATATATATATATAATATAAACATATCTGTGTAGAACAGATGTCAAGATGTACATTCGCAGGTACGGGTGGTACGTAGGTGGTGTTAGTAGGTAGGTCGGCCGGTAGGTAGGTCGGTAGGTAGGTCGGTAGGTAGGTAGGTAGGTAGGTAGGTAGGTAGGTTAGGTAGGTAGGCAGGTGTAGGTAGGTGTAGGTAGGTGTAGGTAGGTGTAGGTAGGTGTAGGTAGGTGT